AAAAATTAATTAATTATACATAATGATTTAAAACAGAAAAATATAAATTAAAATAATAAGAATTAAGATTGAAATACAAAATAAATTTGATCTTTGACTAAAGGGTCAAATTGAAAAGAAAATTTAATTTGATAAAAAATACTAAAAACAAAATCAAACGAATGATAATCAAAATTGAAATAAGAAATATGACCAAATTTTTTATTGAAGTGTGAAATTTTAAAAAAAAATCAATTTAATAAAAGATAAAAAAAATCAAAACAATGGAGATGAAATTAGAAAAAATAATATATTACAAATTGAGATTGAGGATGAAATTAAAAATAAATAAAATTGTTATAAAAGAATTAAGAAGAAAAATAAAAAATAAAAAAAATAAATTGAAATTAAAATATCAACGACAATAAAGATCAAACTATAATCTCCAGGGAACAAGAAAAAAAAAACTTCATCATGACACGTATGATATTAACAGGAAAAGAATGCAGTGACGCTTTTAATAGCATGGTAAAAAAACATTTCTAATTGTTAGGGGCTCCATATGTATTGATGCATGTACCATGCGTTCCTATATGAACGGTTTGAGACCATGTTTGTTAAGTAAAACAAAATAACTAATATCTCCAACCATTTTTAATTATCAAAAAATTAGAAAATGTTGATAAAATATTAGAAAATGTTGATAAAATATTTAATCATTTTTAATTATTAAAAAATTAGAAAATATTGATAAAATATTTAATTAATATATAGTGAATATTTCATCAGTATTTTTTAATGTCAATGAATGATGGAATATCATTATCGCAAACTTGCTATAAAAGCTTTCTATTCCATCGATAATAGAAAGAATATTTTATTAATATTTTTATTAGTATTTTTATTTATTTAATTTTGTATTTTATAGTTTCCAAGTTAATAATTGCTAATAATAAATTCATAACCACTGCGGAAAAACAGTTCTTAAAATTAAAAAAACCAACAAGTATACAACAATGAATTCCATACAATATACACACATATTACACTAAAATAATTCAACGAAAAAAGATAACATTATCAAAGAAAAAGAATTACATGGAGAATTTTCTTAAAATGAATTTTATCGAATAAAAATGTTCGGTATATTGTATTTAAAAGTTGAGCCATTAAGATATCTACAAGAAACCATTGAACACAATTCAAAAATTAAAATACACTATCAAAAACACGAGCGGTAAACACCTGTTCCTGGTTGGCCAATTTTCTAACGATGTCACAGACATAAACATCGATGTCGGAGGGCCAAAGTTACTTAATCATTACTAATCATAAACATAAAAATAAACATAAACATTGGGGCAAAATAACACACTAATCATTACTCTTTTCGCAAACAGAACCCAACATAAAAAGATTAACTCTAAAAAAACCAAATTAAAACAAGAATTGAATTAAGAAAAGAAGAAAGGTTTAACAACACACTAATTAAAATAGCATTCGGTGCATTACATGAAAAACCAGAGCAGCAAACAGGAAGAATAATTTGGATAATCCATGAGCTGCAGCTTGAGATTTCTTGATCGGAGAACCAGTGCCGCAGACACCAACTCCACTGCCACTCTTGACATTATTATATGCTTCAGATGGACTCAAACAAAGACCCGGGTTGCCACTTAGGTCCAAATTCCTTCCTAATCTCTTCAAGAAGCTTGCATTGAAAGGGATAACACCTCCCAACAAGTTTCCACTAAGATTCAAGTGGTATATGCGAGAGAGGCTGCTGAATCCTTCTGGGATTTTACCGGTTAATCGGTTGTTTTGCAGAGACAATGTGCTTAGATTGACAAGCTGTGAAAAGCTTGGTGGTATAGTTCCTGAGTAGCATGAGTTGGCGAGCCTCAGCTCTTGCAGTTTCACCAGTTTACCAAACTCTGCCGGCAAAGGTATATACATTGGATTATCATCCATGATGAAGTACTGCAAACTTTGCAACTTCAGAATTCCTTTTGGAATACTTCCCCTCAATTTGTTGTTACTCAAAGCCATGAAAGTCAATAAAGTGAGCTTTTCTATGCTGTAAGGAATGGTACCAATGAATGAATTTGAACTCAAATCAAGTTTTTGAAGCATACCCAAGCGGCCAATGGTGCCAGGAATTGGTCCAGTAATTGAATTGTAGCTCAAATCAAGGCCTTGAAGGTTGTTGAGATTCCCCAACTGGATCGGTACAGGACCCGTAAGCATGTTGTAGCTCAGATCGTGGACTAACGAGTTCAAGCTAAAAATCCCAACTGGAATACGCCCAGAAAGGCGATTTTGTGACAATGTAAGAATCTCTAAAGACTTTAGGGAGGAAATTTGTGGTGGGATCGGACCAACAAGTGCAGGGTTTGATCTAAGACTGAGTTGTTGAAGTGAAGAATCGAAGAAGGCTCCTCTATTTGGTGAAGCAGAGAGCGTGGTTTTAGTGTGAGTGAAGCACTGAAAGAAAAAAACAGATTGGAGATGAGGAAGATCAAAGATTTCGTAAGGAAATGCAGCTGTGTTCTTGCAAGTTGGGTTTGGACGAGTACCAAAATCAAGCCTGGAGACATGAAGGTGGTTATCTTGTCCTAGTTTGCATTCAATTCCAAGCCAGGTTGAGCCAGGATTACAAGGGTTGGGATAAGAGATTCTCCATTTTTCATCCGAGGAAATGGATTCCATGATCTTGAAAATGGTCTCAACCTCAGAGGGAAGCATGTTCTTCGCATGGGAGGAGCACACAGAGAGGATGGAAGCAAGAAAGAGGAGAAGCAGAGTGGAGGGAGCGCAGCACATTGTGGAGGAGAGTTGAAGCAGCGGTTTGGGTGGTTTTACAAGTAACAAGTTTCATTGATGTGTGAGTGAGAATTCAAATCAAGAGTTTGTTTTTACTTAGCGACTCGTTCAAACTGTACTGGACAAAAATGAAGCTTTGAAAAGGAATTCTGCAAATTAATTCAAACAATGAGAGACGGAGAAAGAGTTGATAGATTTTGATGTGATTGATAAGATGGGTGGGGTTGTGACTACACGGGGAGGGTCATGGCATTTGAGTGAGTGAGAATTTGACGCCATGGTAGGGCCGTAAGAGGGCATGTCTCCCTTTCTCAGACAATGTGCCGTGATAGAATTTGTCGAAAATTTTAAAACACTATTCTTCCTTCATCGGTTAACTTCCTCGAACACTAGAAATAATGCAAGTGCGAATGAAGTGGACGAGGGTTTAATTATATTTTTTAAGGAGGAAGGGTTGAATTAAAAGATAGAAAATTGAAATGAAAATCTTGGATAATATAAAGGATGGGTTAAAACTTTATTGATAGATTTTTTTTTTATTTTTTATGTTTTTAGATATTAAATAATGAGCCCTTTAAATTTTAAAAAAATACATTTTAATAACTAATTTTATTTTTTTAATTATTTTTTGCTAGAGGGTAATGAAAGAGAAAAAAAGTCGTTGGATTCTAACTTAGAAAAAAAAAAGTAACCATTAAAAAAGATTTCAAACCCTAAAATAGTTGATTTTTATGTTAAAAAATTTCACATAATAAAGAGAGTTGCATTTAGGGGCTTTTTTTTTTTTACCTTGAAAACACCTAAAAAATATATCTAAGATCTAAAAGAATTTTTGTTTTAGATAGATTTCGAGCGGTTTATTGGGTTATTGGTGGCCATGGATTTACTTAATAATGTCTCTAGGGTTTTTTCTAGGTATTTCAAATAAAAAATAGGTTGAAATGAATTTTTAAATAAAAAATCTTGTTTTTCCAACCACCACAGCTGTCTAATTCTAGATTGTTAAGGTGACACAACATCTAATGATATAGGCAACACACCATTTTTTTTATATATATATATATAGATATATTTGGGTGGATGATGTCATATACCCCATTAAACTTTTTTTTAATAAATAAAGGCTATTGTTTGGGCCTAGTTTTATAGGTTCGCGTACAAGCTATTATTTTATTGAGTCAGGCTTGCCAAGCCTCGTAGTGCATGATCTAATTTTTTTTTTAGTTTTTTTAAATAATACAATATTTGAGTGCTTTTTTAAAATAAATTTTAAGTTTATATTTTAATTATATTGTGATTATTTTTAAATGATATTAAGTGTGTTTAACTTTTAAAGAGGTAAGTATGATTCATCAGTGATTTTTTTAATTTTATATGGATTAAATTGTTTTTTAATATTGATTTTTAATATTGATTTTTTTTTTTATGATTTCTCATATCTGCAGCCTTGTATTGATTTTTTTAATTATTATTTAATAAATTTTATGTGTGTGTTAATTTCTATTACAAATTTAATGTATTTTTCTATTACAAATTTATTTTGATAAAAAAAGTTCGTTAAACATAATCAAGTAAATTATTTGTATTGCAATATTAGATATTTTGATCTTGATTTTTCACTTGGTTTTCTTAATTTTATTTTGATTATTATTGATGATTGTTTTCTCATTGCTTTACATAATGATTATTGATTTGTTTAAGTAGATATGTATATAAATGTTTTGATTTATATTTGAGAGTTTTTTTAGTGTAAAAGAACATGTTGAAAAATTTTGTATATTCATTTTTTTGTTATGTTTTGATGCTTAAGATTTGATGGTTATTCTTATTTTTTTTCTTTGAATCTTTAATGAAAGTTTCATTGTTTTTAGTTTTACTCCTATAATATATATTTTTTTTGTCTTGATTTTTGTCCTTTTGTTAATGTTTTTATTCTTTTCAAATTAATCTCAAATCTCAAATTTGTTGTTTCCTTTTGATTTATTTTTTATTGCAATTTTAACACATTATTTTTATTGTGTTTTTTTATTTTGGATTTCTTTTGTATTTTTTTTGTGATTTAAACCTTTATGATTTTTTCATGTATAGTGCTTTCGATTTTATAACCCTTGTCAATACACGATGTCGCGTGACGACTCCATTTTTGTTATTTAACAAAAAGATTACTCGATTGGAGAAAATAAAGATTTTATTAGAGTTGTCATCTAGTAATTTGAGGGAACTAGAAATCCCAAATTAGACACTGGTCTTAGAGATTCAGGTACTGGGTTAGTTATGATTAAGAAAAAAGTATACACTACCCTTAAAATATCATTTCAAGAGAAAGGTTACCCTTACTTATGTGTTTTTTATTTGATTCAAATGCTATTATATTTTGAGTTTATTTACAATTTATTTTAAAAATTAGTTAACATCAGTCCCTAAAAATAGGATACATGTCAAAAAATAGCATCAATCCCTAAAAATAAGAGACTTGTCTAAAACGTTGATGTTTAACCATAAAGAGAAGAGTTACGTCCGAGTTACCAAAAGGAGAAATAATGGATATAATCCATATTTAGTATTTCAACTTTTAACATCAATTCTTTTCTGTAAAAAAAAGACATGTTGACAAATAATGTTCAATAGGAGACACGTAAACAAAACAAAAAAAAAATGATATAAAAATAGGAGGCTTATTTAAAATGTTGATGTTTAACTCTAAAAAAAAAAGAAGTTGCGTCTGAGTTACCAAAAAGAAATAATGGACATAATCCATATTTTATATTTAAATTTTTGATATTGGTCATTTTTTGTAAAAAAATAAAGAAGATATGTTGACAAACAATGTTCATTAAAAAACAAATGTTAGTATTATTAAGAATTTGGCATAACCATATTTGAGAATTAGGCTTTGAATCCACGAACGATGACATGATAAAATGAGTGTTGGACCCACGTTGTTATTTTTTATATTTATTTTGGTTTTTTGTTTTACAACATACAAAGAAAGTTTTACAAGTGTGTGTGTGTGTGTGTGTATAATTAAAAAAATACCATTAGGAATCCCAAAAATTAATTGAGTACCACCGTATAGGTAAAAGACTGAAATACCCTTATATTTCTCAGAAAATTATGAAAATAACCTTGATAGCTCGTTTAGCCCACGTGCGGTCATTGTTGGAGGGGGTGAAATTCTTCAGTGAGATTCTCGGCCAAAAAGGGTTGATTCTAATAGATCTAAGAACGAGTATTTTGATAACAGTGGTTTCGATGGCTGTTGATGGCTGATGAGAGAGAATCGACGGTTTAAAGCTTCGACGGTTGAAGAAATCGTGACTTTTTTCGGCTAGATGGGCTAGATGGGGTAGAGAAGGGGATGGAAACCGCCTCGGTTTTTCTTTAAAGGAGGCGATTAACCTTTCTGTGGTGGTTCGAAGGCTTTAAGTGGTCGGAGGTGAGAGATCGAATGAGAGAAAGAGTCGTTGGCAGGAGGAGAGAGAGAGCCTTCGAGGTTTGCTAAAGTGTGAACGTTAGCATGGTAACCCGGTGTAGCTAAAGGTTCTAAACAGCTGGATGACAGATGAAATGATCCTTCAGCTGTGGTTGGCTTGATCTGCAAGTTGATCTGACGGTCTGGATAGACTGAGTCTTATTGTAGTGTGGTAAGATGCACCGATAGCTTTGTACACCGAGTGATGTGGCATGACAGGATTGAAAGGTAGATTGTTTTAAAGACTAAGATGGACTTGGATTTTAATCTAGTGTGATAAGTTCTATTAGATCCTTTTAAATCAAAGGTCCAGAACTAAAAATTATTAGATTTAATGATTAAGATATTTTTTGTATTTTTAAATTTTTTTTTAATCAATATCTTATTAGTTACTAGTGTGAAGAAATAGCAAAAAAACCTTAATAGTAATAACAAATCTCTCTTTGTTTTTTTTTTTACTCCACCTCCTCTTGGTGAATTTTTAGTGGCTATTTATAGTCAATGATGAGGGAACATGAAAATCTCATGACAGTGGCACAAATCGCTTTAAAGAAAAATTTTATTGCTACAATTGCCCCTTTTATTATTGGCCAAACTACTTTGCCTACTATGACAAAAATTTTTGTATTATTGATTTTGTTTTATTATATATAATAATAAATATTTATATGTGTGAAACTAAAAACTCAAATCAGTATTAGAAAAGGTTTATTTCAACGGCTAAAAATAAATTTTAATTACTGAAAATTATATTGAAACACTAAAAATACTTTCGATAGGGTATCAATACGGTGGACCAGGTTCTGACTAAAAACAACAGTTTTGACCAAAAATGACTTGAAACTGATTTTTTATCTCGGCTGACATGGTTGGACCTATATTGACTTGGTGATAAAAAATGATGGTTTTGACCCGAAATGGCTTGAAAACTCATTTTTTACTCTGGTCGACATGGTTGGACCCGTATTGATTCGGTGGACTCGATTTTGATCGAAAATAACGGTTTTGACCCAAAACGACCTTAAAACTTATTTTTTACCTTGATTGACATGGTTTGACTCGGTGGACTTAGTTTTAACCAAAAATGACGGTTTTGACTAAAAACGACGTGAAAACTCATTTTTTACCCTAATCGACATGGTTTGATCTATATTGACCTAGTGGACACGATTTTGATCGAAAATAATAGTTTTGACTTGAAGCAACCTGAAAACTCATTTTTTACCATAATCGACATGGTTTGACTCGTATTGACATGGTGGAATCAGTTTTTATGAAAAGATATGGTTGACTAGAGAAAAATATATTTTTGAATTTTAAACTTTTTCTTAATTTTTTTTTTGAATTTTATGAATAATAATAAAAATAAATAACATTCAAGAAAATCTTGGTAAATTCAAAATTGGGTTACAACAACCCTGGTCACCATTTAAAAAGTTAACATTAATTAACTTTTTTGTCTTATTTTTTTATATTTATATTTATATTTTTCTTTCTATAAAATTATTTTAATTTATTTAATTTTTAATTTATTAATAAATAAGATCAATGAGGTGTTATGGGAATATTGTGAAGATATATTTCCATAATATTACCGAGCATTCATCCATCTTTTGTACTGAATTATTATTATTTTTTTGCTTTATTTGTTATTGATATTTTATTTTCTAATGATATTATTAAATTAATAGATTTTATTAAA